GTTACTCCAAGGCATGAAGAGTCATCTTTATATTACGGGAGATATCCACAAGAGATTGGAAACACATGGTCCGGCGGTTTCAGCGCCTGTTCTCCACTCGTTTTCTTGTGGTGGCAGTGAAGCATCCCAGTTCTGCAGCGTGATCCGTCACAGATAAACCCGAATATTGCGCTTCTCGGGATCAATGTTTGCTCTCTCCTTCAAAGCCCGAGGTTTCCTTTCCCCCTTGGAGCTGTCTGCAGCCAACAAAGACTTTTTCAAACCATTTCCAACAAGACAGCATCGGTCCTAATTACTAATTTCCTACCAACATCACAAGACCAAAATTAGACTGATATGGAAATTTGGGATACTTTAACACAACTAATGGTTATTCCTTCTCTTCCAGCACTTGAGGAAGGTAAATATATACACGTATTTGAGGCTACACTCCCATTTCGATGATTCTGGTGCAGCGCAGAGCCTTCTGCTAGACATAAACCACGTATTTCTGCCTCCTGCGCGGGTGCCGTAAGTTTTATTATGAGGCTCTTCGGCGCTTGGCTCCATCCTCGCCACGCTCCAGCTTTGCTCGCTGTCTCGTCGCGGCTCCACTTGTTCTTTCGGATTAAACGGTTTTGCATTAGGAACGGGTCTGAAGGCGGGTGGTACGGCCGAGGTCTAATTGCAATATCTTCCCCCACGGGAAATGCACGTCGCTGGACGGCACGTCTCTTCCCCGTCTGGCAAAAGGAAGCACGCTCGGAGTCAGGGAAATTTTTGGAAGCAAAGAAGGAAAGGGCTCAACCACTCATTTTCACATTATTATACAATAAGAAAAAGGTCTGGAAAACCACAGCCGTTTTCCCTTAGGGGTGTGCGTGTGCATGTGTGCGCGTGCAATGGGATCAGTGACTCGATTCGGGATGGAAATGTTGCATTTCGAGCCCTTTGCGGAGCGCTTGAAAGGAGCTCAGCTCCTCCAGTGCCTTTTTCCCGAGCAATCAAACGTGCAAAGCTCAATTTGGCTTTTGCATAACAAGGGCAAAAAAAAAAAAAAAAAAAAATCGAGGATGGAAAATGGCAACAAAACGATGCTCAAGAGCCCTTGCAGGGTGACAGCCTGGTGAACCGCATCCCGCTGCATCGCAGTCCCCACAAAACCAACTCTGGCCACGGAGAAAATAATCCGACAGCCCAACGAGGGTCTTCTGCAAGCCAAACTTTCTGCCAGAAACCCCTTTTCCCCGCAAACCTCCCCGGCTGCTGCGCAGGCGCGTGCACGGCTCCGCAGGTCGTTGCCCATTTGGGCGGCCGTAAAACTGGATCCTCCTAACCAGAAGAATTGAATTATTTCCAGCTTTCCCAGAGCTAATCAAGTAAAAGGCAAGCATTTATCTTTTATTGGCTTTTCCTTCCATAAATTGATATTTATAGACTGGGCTCTCGTAGAGGTCGTGGACCACAGATGCAAAAATCCCTTTTATTCCCTTTTTCTACTACATTAAGCACGCGTCAGCCGCTTGAGAATACACCGCCTTCCAGCCCCCGGAGCAACTAAGATATTAAAAAGCAAACAAAATACAAATTAATCTTGCAAAGAAAAAGGGAACTTTTGGCAATACAAAGCCCTTTACACGAGGAAACATTTAACATCACTGTCGCCAAGAGGCGAAGACGCCGACCAGCACAATGCCCGTTGCAAGCTTAACGCTGCGTTTTTCAGGACTGAAATAACTGATCTTCTGGATTTGCACTCTTACGGGGGGAACATCTACCTCCACCCCTGACGCCCTGTTATTCTGTAGCTGCTCCCAACGCACAGCTTTGGAGATTGATGAAATATCAAAGCGAAACCGAGGTAGCAACAATTTACTGCGAGTCGGCTGCGCCGCAGAGTCGATAAATATTAAACCTTGGCAGTGATCTCTCTTTTTTTCTTCTTTTTAATTGGACTTCTGCCACTTTCTGCTTCTTTAGGGTGGAGAAAAAAAGGATTCAAAAGGCCTTTTTTTTTTTTTTTTTGGGGGGGGGGCACTTGTTTCTACCTTATTACAGCAGGTAGGTCTTCACCTTGCTAAGGAGGGTGAAATACCATCAGAAAACACCCCCTGCAAAGACACGGGAATGGAAAAGTTGGAGATGCTTTTCCTGAGGTCAATATAAAAGCTGCTGAAAGAGCACCTGGGCATGGTAAAGGGGAGAGAGCAATGCACACGGTTATTTGGCTTTTTTTAAACTACAGACGCATTTATGCACGCTCTAAGCTCCTTGGATAATCCCGCTAGAGGCTGGGAAGGCAGGGATGCAGCCAGTAGAAAACAAATCTATGTGCTTTGCCGCACCTGCTGAAAGATTCGGGGTTGCTTCATAATTAAACACAACTAGGACGAGGCCACAATGTGAATTTGCCGTTGACTGCCAGCGAGTAAATTAAAACGCCTTCTTGAGAGCGATACAAAATGCATCACGGTTTGGCCTCGGTCCGCAAGAAGAAGGGCAAGGAGACGGGATTGTTACTGGAGAATGAAACATGGGGAGGGGGGGGAAGGAAGAGAATTAAAGGTACTCTGCAAAGGCAGAAACATAATTGAATTGCTGCGTTTATGCTTCGCTCCGAATAAAGTAAGACAAATGAATACAACCACTTTCCCCACTCCTCAAATGGGATTTTTTTTTTTTCCCCATCGCTTGATGGGTTACTTGAAAAAGGCAGAGACATTCATGATTTAAGAGCGATCATAAAATGAGAAACTCCCTCTGCCTTGCACCGGCTGGTAGAGAGACTGGCTGCCACGTGGTGACGTACCCAGGCAGGATTTTCCCGTCTCCTCACCCGTTCAGCACCCAACAGGACCCAGCAGATTTCCAGCTTTCCCTGAACCCCATTAGACAGACGCCCGCACGCGTGAGAAAGCAAAGTCAAGCAACCTGCCCCGCGCCCTTGGCCTCTTGCACAGGTATTTAGGGAAAAGCAGAGAAAACTTAAAAATTCAACAACTTCCCACACGATAGAAAGCCAAAATGTGATGGTTTCCCCCATCTGAGCATGTGAAAGATGACGTTGAGCGCAATAATCACCCACTCGCCGCGGGCACTCTGTGTCAGCCAAAACTTTTCTTGGGTCCTTCTTTCTGGCCAAGAAGAGCCGGTGGCTTACTCCAAAACCAAGCACAAATCTCGGGCGCTCAGATAATGAACATCAGCCAAGCTCCAATCCCCGACCTGTGCGCTCTCGAGATGCTCACCGTCACAGACGAGGCTGAAGTTTGACCCTAAGGAAGAGCAACAGTTTGAGGAAAACTGGGCAAAACCCAAAGCTGGACTCGGAACGTGGCTTATGGTCCCAACGTTCTTCCCGGCATCCTGCAAGTTTTCCACCAAGGTGGTTTGCAGGTCCACCGAGAGGCACGTTGTCCTATGTGGGACATGACAAATACCCCAGGGCCAAAGAGAGGTCAATACGTTCACTCTTCCCAAAGTTCAAGGCACTGTCACCTCCCCACGTCGACGGTGCCAACCCCTTCCCCTTTGGATCGGCAATTCAAGGACTATATTCTCACCCCAGCTTTCTGCTGGCAGCTGGTGGGGATGAAGCTGTTCCTGGGCTGACAGCTCCTGGCAACACAGATGGCCATTTATAACTTAATTCCCTCCAAAACTTGACAGAATCAAATCCGATTTATATTTAAAACCTGGAAATCGTGAGCAGATGGGAAGAACGAGGTTCTTCATTTGAAGAGCATTTAACGGCACGCCAGAAAAATCATAACGCTCGCTCAAAAGCACTTGATATTCATAAGGGCTCAGCAATCCTTGCTGCCATCTCTGGTTTTTCTCCCCATCCTTCCCAGTTAAGAGCATCATGTTGGCAGGTTAATGGGTAACGCAACAGGCAGCTCCTGTAATGGGCTCTCGACATCCTGCGAGGCAGATGGAAGCCATCGCCTCTATTACGGCACTTTCTCACCCCATTTCTGTGCCCGATACATTTCCTGAGGGTAGCACAGCAGAAGTCCATTGCTCAGCTGCGTGCTTTGGAGAAAGCACTTTAGAAACGCGGAGCATCGCAGCTAGGATTGGGCACAGACCGCTCCCCCGTCTCGCTTTTTCATTCGGACCATCTGAGAGCTGAAGAGGAAAGTCCATCCTTTGAAAAATTAGCTCAACGCGCCGCATATTTCCCCAACAGTTTCTGCTTTATTCCACCACTATTCTGCCTTTCACTGCAAGCGGAAACACATTAAAAAAAAGAAAAAAAAAAAGGAAAATAATTTCATTCCCATTTAGATAAAACCCCGTATCTGGAAAGCATCACCAAATACCTCCAGCAGCAAACCCAGCATGACATTCCAGTGAGATAAAAAGAAAGCTTTTGCCTGTGAGCCTCGAAAGAAATAAAAAAAAAAAAGATCAAATCAACACTAAACTGCCAAAGTTTTGTCAAAAATCATTCTGGAAAGATCTAAGAGAGATATTCACCTCCTTGCTAGCACAGTGCCAACAGTGTTACAAAGGGACAGCCCCAGCTGCAACCCATAATTTCTCTCCATATCGAGCATCTGTGATGAAGAGCTTAATTACCTGTGCTGGAAAGTTGCTTGGATCCTTAGGCAGCATTAATGGGAAATGGATGGCACAAGGCATGGCAAATCCTGCTAAATTTAAGATTACGGTTTATTTTGTTTAATATTTATTGCTTTATTTGGAGAGAGCTGTAAAAACAAATATAAAAGGATTTGCTGTGCAAACATAGGCATGCCTCGTTTTTAGATGCTCTTACTTCATCAATAATTAGACTTCAGGAGTGCGTTCGTGAGGAGGCAGCCAGCACCGCAGTTGTCAACTGTTAATTTTGCTAAGGATGCTCTAGAAAGCGCTGTGACTTCTCCCCCCCAAGACACGGATCTCAGGGGGAAACAGAGGGTGGAAAAAAACCACCAACTCCTAAAAATGAATTCTTTTGCTCCTCCAGCACAGTGAACGAAGCCGAGAGGAGGCCGACCCGATCCGCCATGTACCTGTGGAAGCAGCAGGGAGCAAACGATGACCAAAGTGGCCTCGAAGTTGTCTTTGAGCCAGAGCCCGACGGCGTGGATGCAGCCTCGCACATGGATGACGTTGAGCAGCTCCAGGCGCTGGAATCAGGTTGGAGAGAAGTATCAAATCATAGAATCGTCTAGGTTGGAAGGGACCTTGGAAGATCATCAAGTCCAACCATCAACCCAACACTGCCAAACCCACTAACCCATGTCCCTCAGCACCACGGCTGTCTGTCTTTTAAGTCCCTCCAGGGACGGCGACACCACCACTGCCCTGGGCAGCCTGTGCCAGTGCTTGACAGCCCTTTCCATGGAGGAATTTTCCCCAATATCCACCCTAAACCTCTCCTGGTGGAACTTGAGGCCGTCTCGTCCTACCGCCTGTTCCGTGGGAGCAGAGACCGCCCCCCCTCGCTGCCCCCTCCTCTCAGGGAGCTGTAGAGAGCAGAAGGTCTCCCCTCAGCTCCTCTTCTCCAGGCTGAACACCCCCAGGGCCCTCAGCCGCTCCTCACCAGACGTGTGCTCCAGACCCCTCACAGCTCCGTCGCCCTTCTCTGGACACGCTCCGGCCCCTCAATGTCTGTCTTGTCGTGAGGGGCCCAAAACTGAACACAGCACTCGAGGTGGGGCCTCACCAGTGCCGAGTACAGGGGTAAAACCACCTCCCTGGTCCTACTGGCCACACTAGTCCCGATACAGGCCAGGATGCTGTTGGCCTTCTTGGCCACCTGGGCACATGCTGGCTCATGTTCAGCCGGCTCTCCACCAACACCCCCAGGGCCTTCTCCGCCGGGCGGCTTTCCAGCCGCTCATCCCCAAGCCTGTAGCGTCCATGGGGATGGTGTGACCCAAGTGCAGGACTTGGCCTGGTTGAACCTCACACCATTGCCCTGGGCCCATCGCTCCGGCCTGTCCGGAGCCCTCTGTAGAGCCATCCTGCCCTCAAGGAGATCCACGCTCCTGCCTAACAGTGTTGTCTGCATCACGGTTTTCATTGAGACGTTGGGTTGGGGGAGAGATGTTATTTCTTGAGTTTGCTCCTTCTTGCAAGCCAAAGGAGAAGTGTTGCATGAGAAGTGTTCGGGAATATATATTTCTTGGATTGGACTTTTTCCTGGGTTTTCTTGCCAACAAACTGTCCCTGGGAGCTATGGACCATATGCACGGAGATACTGCAGCTCTCTGGGGCGATACAGCCCTGCGGTCATCCCCGAAGGCCTCCAAATCAGCTTCTCTCCAACCACCGAGCCTCAAAACACAACTTGGGACCAGCATTTCCCGGGGCTGATCCAGAACGGCCGCGCCAAAGCCTACGGGGACTACCCAAACGTGTCACGAGCCTGCCCGTGCTCTGCGAGCCTGAGCGACACCCTGGGACGCCAGCGAAAAGCGATAAAAAGGAATTTACACACAGCTGCAGCAACACTACGTCCTTGGTGGGGACGAGCTTACCCGCAGATAACTGGTTTGTTTTAGGGGGTTTGGGGAAGGAGAAGCCGATCTTGTACGTACGAAGGAAAAAGCCAATGTTACCTCTTTATTGAGCGTCCTGTATCCACAGAGGGTGTTAACGACTTCTCCAGGGACCTGCGAACAGAGAATTGCTGAACTGACATAGCTCGGAGGAAGCCAAAGGGGAAATACAAGAAATAAGAATGAAAAATAAGAAATAGAAGAGTTCGCCCAGTTGCCTCAACCATTCAGCGTAGCACACGGCAGCGACCCTCAAACCTCGCTTTACTACCGCAGGCTCCTTTTTGTCCAAACGCAATGCTGAAACCATGAACGTCGGCAATAAGCTGTTGGGTTTTAGCATTATTTTTTTTTTTTAAGTCACTTTTCTCTCTGGTTTCTGCTGTTTCAGAGGATGCTCAGGTCCCCCCCAACACTCTTCCAGTGATTTGAGCGGGGACCACCCCCACTTCACGCGAGCACTTAGCAAAGCAGCTCTTTCAAAACGCTCCCTTGATTTTCTCCTTGTTTAATTCCAGCCACCATCAGTCATGTCTCTGATTCATAATAAATAATAAAATTTATAAGAAAATAATCATATAATAAAATAAAATAATACATTTCACAAGAATTAAATGTATGGAGCTCTCCAGAAATCAAACAGGAATTTCCCCAAAGTCTCCCAGCACTTTGAAGAGAAACGTAAGGATTTTAGACATCCCCAAAACTTAGATCTTTGTTGGCCCAACAGAAACGTTTCAAGAGCTACACCTAATAGGAGAAATCCTGGCCAAATGCTGCTGTTCAGGACCTTTCTAAAATAAGATCAAACCTAATTTCTCTGCTTCTGTCAGGATGGAAAACGGTATGTTTTGGGTTACAACACTGATTCTGGTTCATCCCCAAAAAAATCAAAGCCGGAGAGTAGCTCTGGCACGTCCTGAGCTAGTTGGGTACTTTGCACCTCTGGGGATTGATCTTCCGATGGGTTTTTTTCGGCTTGTTTCACGGATCAAACAGCAGCTTCCATAACACCATGTATTTCTAAAGGGGCCTTGTGGCCATAAAATAATAACGTGCTGAAATTATTACGCTTTCAGAAAGATGGCTTTGGCAACCAGTAAAAGCTCCCGGACAACAAAACAAAAACACAGAGATGAAAAGGGAGAAATGTGCACATTTAGGTGTAAATTATGCTCTCCTGCAAGACAAGGCATAAAAGAAATGTGCACCTCCGGACAGACTCCGGCCATAAAGCTGCAGCTTTTTCCTCCTGTAATTGGCAGGGAAATTATTCCAGCGCTACCTTACCAAGAGCTTCTGTACCTACCACATTACTCCCAGCGCTATCAAAAATCCCACCTCTCACCGCTTCAAGATGCTATTTAGAAACTGGGCATAGTTAAGGAGACTAATTAGTCCCCATGCATATGGAAGACTTGCAGGGAAATCTGGAGATGAGCAGCAAAGCACCCATCGGCATCGCTGAGAGAGAGCTCACCCGGAGCTGGGACCACGAAATGGGAAGCCTTCAGCATAAGGGGAATTTGCAGTCGTCTTAACGTAAATTCTGCCACCTACAGTGGTATAAAGGAACCTGTACATCACCAAGGATTCGCCTATTTGGTTTACATTTTAAAAATAAACCGCTTTTCTTGACAGCTTGCAGTTGTCCGTGCTTTTCAGACTCACTTTCATGGACATCATAGGACTCTGGCTGGTCAACCATCATTGCTTTCTATCAGGCTCATTGTTTGACCGTGTCTGGCTACGGCACAAATTCATCACCGCTTTTCTTCCTTCTTGCGTTAAATAACCGAGGGTTTCTCAATCGCCTCCAGTCCCGTCTGTCTGTTGGAGTCATTCCCTCAACACCTTGTATTTGGGAGAAGCGTGGAAGATAGAAAAGTGAGGTTTTAGCCTCAATCGACTTTTGTCAAGGTCTTGCATGAAAAAGAAGGTCAGCGCTGAATTGAAATTTCTAAGATAAAACCAGGCAGAAGCCTTTCTCCTTCCAGAATGCATTTTGATGCCTTCAGGGATCACAAAAGAGCAACACGCACAGGCGTTTAAAACCCACCGAGGGCAGAAGACTGCAATCCTTGCACTTTTTATTTAACCAACTGCTTTTCTCCCCAAAATCAGTGCCAAACGTCAGCGGTGACACTTCACAAGGGGTTTGGAGACAGTGCGCTTGGCAGAGGCACAGCTACGCTGCGGCTTCCCTGGAGAAGGCACAATTGCCTTGGAAAACCACTTAGAACGAAAAGCAGAGATGAGGATCCAGTCTCACACCCTCAAGTAGGTGCATATTTGCCCATTCCTTCTTCTTGGGAAGATTTTAAGGTCTACGACCTCCGAGATGAGACTCTTCAAAATTTGGAGGATGTCTACTCTTGCTAATGCAACTCAGCCTGCCCTGGAAGATGCCCCAGGGGATGCAACACAAAGCTTTCAGAGGGTCTTGCAGTACAAAAAAAAAAAATCTTTTCTTGGAAAACAGGATGGTTTTACGGCTGCATTTAATGACAAGTTGGAAACATTGCCACCAACCTCCTAATCCATGTTTCCCACCCCTTCCTTCAGACAAGCTCACTCTTATCAGCATCTTTTCTTCTTTCCACAATATTACATTTCCAAATGATGTCTTCTGGTACCTCTCCACCTAAATCTCAAAGATCCTCTATGACAAAAGGATGTTTCACTCTCCATCTTTCATTCATGAAGGCACAAATAGAGAAGTACGCAAGAAGAGAAGGGTTTCTTGCCCTACAAACTGATGGATTTATAACTGGTTGATAAAAAGGTTATTCACAGCAGAGAGAGCATCATGTTCACCTCTACCCAACGCAGAAAAATTCATACACGTGCCCGGGTGGTCCCTGGTTGTCCCTCCAGCTGCACGGCCAACGCAAGATCTTCTCTTCAGCCCTCAAGCAACACATTTTGGTGGAAAGGGTTTTCAGCGGGGCTTGCACGTCGCTAAGACCCAACCAGGTGTGTCCAGAGCATCACACAAAGGTACCTTCTTCATCCTGAGGGGTAGAAGTGCTTCTCCCACCTTCTCATCCCTCAAGGAAAACCCCCTACGACAACACTGCAACTTCAGCGAATCACTACGAATAGACATGCTGGAAGTTGCGGTAAATGCAATTACGGAGGGGTTCATTCTCTTGTTTAAAAGAAATTTTTATTAGCTTGTTTTATGTCGCAGAGAGCAGAAAAGTCCCAAGGGAGCCGTCTCTCTTAATCCATTTCATGTACTATTGATATTGTGTCAGGCTGTTTTCTTAACCGACAGTGCTCTGCAGTGCCAAAAATCAAATCTCTGAAGAACAAGGCTACATCTATCTACCTGGTTACTCTTCTCCCCAAGAACAGGTTTCATTTCTCATGGAGACTGAGATGTGTTTGGTGAGGTCCCGCTTCCAATAAAACCGCTCCCGCTGTCAGAGCCACATTTGTGGGCTTTAATTTTGAAAAAAATATCGAGAGGATTTACCGTGGACTTTCCTTCCCTGGGGCTGGCTGCTCTAGTCCTTCGCTACAGCATCCTCCAGACCCAGCTGATTACAACGGGAAGCCAAAAAGTTGCCTTATTTCTTACCCTGCTACATTAATCATCTGTGATTTCTTCTATCTCCAACGCTGCCTGCTGCGCTGAGGTCTTTTGTTTGCCAAATTGTCACCCAAAACCGCGGGGAGCGTAAAAACACCGAGAAATGCACTTGACTCTCTCCAACACATCCTCACTCGCAACACAAAAGGGCAACATGTGAATTTCTAATTCCATCTTCAGAAGCTTTAAGATTCTTAATCAACGCCCTGATTAGAGATTACAATTATTTTTGCAGCTGATTTGCATGTCAGACTTCCACTGATAATTAAGACACCTCAGATTTCCCTCTTTTTCCATTAAAAATCCAACGACAGTACCAGACTGATGATATATTTTCCGTGTGTGACACCGATACTCCCGATGTTCAGAACCCCGAGGAGGTTTTGCTACCGGGATAAGGCTTAGCAAATCGTTTTTAGCAGTGTTTATAGCATTTCTGGCCACAGCAATCAGAGCTATTTGCACTTTTTTTCCCCCTGCCTTGGCCCAGCTCTTGGCATTTTATCCACAGCGTGTGTTAGATTGATTGCAACGAGGCGGACGGTTGTATTAAACAAGACGGTGTCGGAGCACTTAGCTTAGTCTCAGCTGAAAAGCGCTGGGCGGGGGGTGTGTGTCTTGATTTTGCAGCTCCGAAAAACCAGCACGGGAGACGCTAACGGCTCTGCAAACCCACTCCCCCCTCTCTCCATCTCCCTTTGACCCAACTCGCAGCGTGTTGGAAACGCGGCCTTGTAAGGGCAGTTGTTCACGAGACCTTTTTGTTTTCCATTGCACAAGGGGGGCTCTTTAGCCAAATACCTCTCCCGGACCCACAGAATCACAGAATTTTCAGAGTTGGAAGGGACCTCTAGAGATCATCTAGTCCCACTCCTCTGCTAAAGCAGGATTGCCCAGAGCACATCACTCAGGACTGCATCCAGGCGGGTTCTGAAAATCTCCAGAGAAGGGGACTCCCCCCCCTCCCCGGGCAGCCTGTGCCACTGCTCTGTCACCCCAACTGGAAAGAAGTTTTTCCGTGTGTTGGAATGGAACTTCCTATGTTCCAACTTGTGCCCATTGCCCCTCGTCCTGTCACTGGGAACCACCGGGAAGAGTCTGGCTCCATCCTCCTTCAACCCCCCCTTTAGATACTTGTAAGCCGTAATGAGGTCTCCCCTCAGCCTTCTCCTCTCCAGGCTGAAGAGTCCCAGCGCTCTCAGCCTTTCCTCATACGGGAGATGCTCCAATCCCTCGATCATCCTGGTTGCCCTATTTTCAACAAAACCCTCAAGAACCTCCTCGTTAGGAGCAGACACCAGCAAACGCGACGCCCACATACCACCAATCCCCGCGGTGGCCCGGCCGAGAAATGTCTCCTCTTGGACAGGACTGCAGAGGACAACAGCTCGCTTGCATCCATGCTGAGATGCAGCCGAGTCCCTTTTTTTCAGATGCTGCTATTTCTTTGCAAAACGATTCTCCAAAACCGTTTTATATCACGTATTAGGTTGAAAAACAAGAAGTCGGCATCACTAACAACTCCTCGGCGTGATACAAGTGCAATTGATAGCCCAGTGCTTTGGTATTTATTTTATGTTAAAAAATACTAAAATAGCATAGCCCATATATACATTTTGCAGTTTCCCAGGAAATGAACTTTGTCTGTATTTCTGAAAAGTATTGAACAATTACTGCATTCAGACCTGTGTTAGTGATTGCTATGGGTCAGATTTCAACAAAGGCTGAGATTTGTTACAACTTCATATTTGTCTTGACTAAATTCATTTAATTTGCAGTGTCTCACGCTGGTGCTGTCACAAACCGTTTGCAAGAAGGCACTGTGGTTTATAAGACACCCGACAGCACATAAATATGCAGTAATAACCAGCTGGAAGAGAGTGTTTTGCTGAAATATTGAGTGAAATAAAGGCACTTTCCGTGCCTTACCTTGCGGATACAGCACGTATAGGGCACTCCGCACGCCAGTGCCCCGCTGCCGTTGCAGGAGTGGTACTGGTTAACCTCCCAGTCTCGGTATTCATCGCCGCCGCAGCAAGAAAACTGCAAAAAAGAAGAAAAGGAGAGGATGAAAGGTGCAGATGAAGGAACGTCGACAGCTCCATCCCACCGCCGCGTCCACCCCCCAGCCTTGCCCTGCATCTCCGATGCGCCTTTGCAACACCGGCGTCGAGAGCCCCGATTATTTTCTGCTTTCCACGACCGCAAATAGGGAGGGGAATACACCGTGTGAAAAAAGAAAAGTGGGTGTTTAGCCCCATTTAGCCCCATTTTAGAGGCGTGAGGCAGTTATAGACGCGTACACACGTGTATTGGAGGCGCATCCTCGCTTTCACGAGCCCGGGAAAGATCAGGCTCATTCATGCTTCACTGATTTAATTACAGGTGACTAATCCGTCCTATTCCCGGGGCGCGCAGGAGAGATGGCTCTTTCGGCGCCTTGAATGAATGTATTTCTCGGCTCTTGAAGGCAGCTCGGCTAGTTGGTGCCATTCGCCGAAATGCTAATGAGCCTCCGCAGCCTAACAGGGATTTCTCTTCCTGTCAAGTTAAATTAGAGATCAAATGCTACAGCTACAAAGGAAAAAAGTGTCTTTTTTCTTCTGTTCGCACAATGAAAGAAAGAAAAAAAAAAAAAAAAGAAGAGTTTAATGAAAGTCATTTTCTGTTCTCCGCAGAATAAAAGTAGGCTTATTATATATCAAGTCATCCCTCCTCTTGGTAAACAAGCTTCAATCTTTACATTTTTCCCCTGGAAAGAAAAGCCTGAAGTGGGCAGGAAAGGTGTGTGTGCTTAATAAGATGGAAAAAAACCCCAGGTTTTCCCCATTTCTTTAAGCACCGCATTCTTCAAGGAGCAGTTTTCGGGAGAAGTTTAACCCTGCGAGCATCTGCTCCCCCCTCCAGTTGATGGGGTGGTGGCAACGCTTGGCCGACGGGAGTAGAGCCACCAGCTCTCGGGGTCCTCCTGTCCCAAAATGGCCAGATATGGCCAGGAGCAGCCAACCCACAGCTTTACAACTATTTTCTAACTTCCGACCTTTAATTCCTCTATTGTTTTTAATCCTACCCATATCAGCGAGGGGGACCAGCTTGCAAAAGTTGCCTAGAAAGAGGGGGAGAAAAACACCTAAAGGGATATTGGCTGTCGCTATCCATTTGACATCCCCACGCCGCAAAGGAGGTTTTTTCCATTTGCTTTTATAACCCCGTAAACATTGGTACAAAATCCTTGTAACGAGGGTTACTAGCTGCTGGGAAGCCTCACCAGGGTGGTTTTTAATCTGCAAAGAGAGGTTTAGCCCAAACTACTGTTGCGCCTGGGTTTATTTCTCATAACCCGAGACAGACTTGTGTGTGGGTTTTGCTTTCATGCAGGCTCCCGGAGTTCGGAGAAGCATAACAAGCAGGAAAAAAAAACCCAACAAGAGTCCTTGGAAAGAGCCTGGCAGGTCGCATCTGAGGAGCTCCCCGTGTCGAGGTCCGCTGCCGCCACTAGCGAGATACGGGCTCGTTACGGCTAAAACCATCGCCCTGGAAGCAGCGGGCTCGGAACGAGCCGCGCTGGTGAAAGCTGCCTTTAATTTTCCCCGAGAAGAAAGGAGGAGGTTTGCAAACACAACACCCTCATCCCTCCCAGCCTTACTTTGAGTTTGGAGCCACTCGGGTTTGGGCGAGAACCGCGGCCCCGGCAGCTCTTTGAAATTCAAATCCTGCGCTCGGCAAAGCGGTTTGAACTCTCCTCTTCTACCTGTGCTCAGCAAACCATTAAAAAAAGATAAAGCGAGGAGCGGCAGAATAGCTGCAGTTACTGACTTGGGGCAAACCCCGGCTTTTGAGTCACCGTCACCTCCCGTTTCGCGTCCCGGGGCTGTGAAGGGAGAGTAGTTCAGCAAAAACGAGTGATAAAAACATCGAAGTATTATTTTCTTTAGGGCGATTTATTTCCATATCTACTTGCTCCCAGGCAGCCAGATCGAGTAGGTGTCGACAGGAAAAACCACATTATTCGCACCATCATCCTAGTAATGTAAAATATTAATGTCTGGCACTACGGACCATAATTACGTGTTATTTTTACTGCATGACACTGGTTTAAGTGCACGAAGGCAGTCGGCTTTAGCTTAAAGCATCACTGGAGGGAGGGTTTAAGCAAAATTCAAATCCTAAGGAGAACGGTTTGGGTTTGCCTGCCCCAAATAAGCCGTGTGCCAGCTAACCTACGCACGGACAAAGTTTTTAATAAGGAAAAGGGCAAGAATAACCACTAAATGATGACAAGAGGCTGCTCTGAGCTTGTGTTTTACCCAAAAAGCAGGTCTGGGTGGAATCCCTCCTTCCAGTTTTCATCCTCGGAAAGCGAACCAGGCTGCTCAAGTTCCGTAAAACTAATTTCCCTCCTCTTAAAAGCAGTTATTCCTCTGCATTGCTTCTCCCCGGTCCTACCCTCAGGATGAAGCAACTCTGCATTTCAATCCCTGACATTGCCGCTGTTTCTGGTTTGGAAGTCATACGCTAATATAAAAGCTCAGAGCAATGATCTGGATGTTCTTGTGAAGCTCCTTCTCTCGCTACGAGATAAAATGTGCAGATGTTAACTATTTATCAGCAACACCGTAAGTGGCCCCGACTTCTTATAGTCTTCGAGATGAAGTTCTCCCCCTGAAAACTTTTTATTAAAAGTTAAGCGAAGAAGCAGATGGGAAAAACGTCGTAAAAATGGATTGAGATTATAGGATAAATGCCCAATCCTCCCTTGTTTGGAAATAGAGAAACCTTCCCACAAATGCATCCGCTTCATCTGGAGCTTTGTGCTCTACCCCCCCTGCCGAGGCTCGTTGAGGATGGCTCCAACACGGACTTTCCGCCTGCTCCGTTTCTCATTCCTACAGAGTGATCTTGATTACAGCATCCTCTTAGAGAGGTCAGAATAGAACTTGAAAAAGATTCAGATCTTTCTCAAAATCATTCGTCTCTTGAGACCTTCAGAGAGCTCCGAGTCTTAACGCGCTCGGCTCGGTAACGATGACTCCAAGAGTCAAAAGAAGGTATTTAAGCCAAGAGAGGGGAGCGTGGAGGGCACCACCGACCTTAAATTCCAGCTACATCAAAGAAGAAGGAGCTTCGCAGTCTCCTTTACTTCAAAGCGAGAGAGAAGATTCACATATTTATGACATTTCAACCCCAAACGAAAGGAGGGAAATCAGGCCAAGGTGAGAACATCCAAAGTTCATCTGAAAGCAGTTTTGCTGGCAAAACCTGGCTCTGCTCCCCAAAACCAACCCAGGAGACGTGACACTGTTGTGATTTCTCTCCTAGATCTCAAGTTTGGGGTTTTTTTTCCACTTTTTTTTTTATTTTCATTCATCAAATGCTTCAAGCCAAGCGCTTCCCTCCCGCAATAACGCAAATAACGGGTAAATCAGATATCCTCACTCAAAACACGAGCCCCAAATACTCCAAATTCCCAGGAATGGCTTCTTGCCGGTGCTGGAAAACCAAATGATACATTAGAGCCAAACAGGCTTCTCTGGACCGGTCACACGCTTAACGGTGTGGATAACAACTTCAGGTCCTGACTTTAACTTGACTTTTCAATGTACTTGGGGAGACGCATCGTTCCTTTGCTGAAGCGCTGAACCTTGGGATTTGAGAGACAAAAGGGAAACACATCTGGCCAGGGCTCAATGGCAGGAATTAGGAAGGCGTTTTGATTTAATACTTAATTTAATATTTAGCGATGTCCTGGTTTGTGGTACCAAACCACAAGCACCTCAAGTAAACTACGTGGCGCATAAATCACAAGGCAAGAGCAGCAGCGTATCAAAAGTTTGGCTAAAAATAAAAATCAGAGTTGCGAGGACGGCTTTATCGACCTGCAGGTTGGCTCCAGGATAGGGGATGGATCCTGCCAACTCCTGGCAGGCTCTGAGCATTAGATACGAGACAGAATATGCAACCACATACCTAAAAAATATTAAAGCAGACTATGCCAAGCCCCAATATTGGACTGGACATAGCTCTCGCCAGTCCCAGGAGCAGCTTGCCCCCCGTGCTGCCCGTGGGGAGGCTGGAGCTCTCCTCTCCTTCCAGCTACGGCATGGAAACACCTTACCTGCAATTTTCCCATTGAGTCAAGGACTTGACCAGCTACCGATGACATCGTGAGTAAATAAACTTACCTAAGGTGGACTATCTAAGGGTCGTTGCAGCCCTGAAGCAGCTTTAACATGTTATTTTATTCCTCCACCTCTCTCTATGCAGGTTGGAGGAGCTATCAAAAAGCTTCCAGGCGTCAGGCACCGGTTTCCCACCAAGAATGGGAAATAGAAACATCCCGGCATGGTCCACGCTGTGGTGCGGGGCAGAAGATGCTCTTTGCAGGGAACAGAATCACAGAATCACACAGAATCACAGAATGGTGAGGGTTGGAAGGGACCTCTGGAGATCATCTAGTCCAACCCCCAACAGAGATGGCAGAATAGCCCACTGAAAAAAAAACCCTGCGAGGTGAGCTTGGAGAGCAGCACAACGCAAAACTGTGCGAAAAGAGCAGCGGAAACAAAAAAAGATCAAGGTATTCAAAGGCAGATCAAGCAAGGCACCCTAGGGATGGGAATAAACTCTAAAAATACAGGAAAAACTAATGCTTCTGCTTCAACGAGGCACAGAGTTAACCACTCCTTGAAAAACTTTGCAGCCAGACCTCCCGGTGCCGCCCTACCGCCCCCCCCAAAAAACGAACCTTTTCTTGGACAAAATCCAAGATGTTCTTGAAGTCGAGGTCATCGTAATAGTGTCTGATGCCCTCTTGGATGTTGGAGTGGAAAACAGCATTCATCTGGGGAGAGAGAAAAAAAAACACCACCAAAAATAAAACCACGGCTCACACATGGAAAATGCACCAAGAAAACCTCGAGAAACGTGAAGATTTTTTTCATAGCAAGCGCTGCCAGCTGTTACCCGAGTAGGAATTTACCCCACATGCTGGCACAAGTCTATTTCTTGGGGTAAAATTCATCGGTTTTGAGCTCTGAGGGTCAGCAGCATCATTTTTGAGCTCTGAGGGTTAGCAGCATCCCATAGCACCTCCCCGTTTCCGGCACATCCGAGCCGACCCATGCACATTTACCCGCATCATTTTCCCCCATATGCTTCATATTAAATTTAATTATTATGGTGACTTCTTCGAAAGCCCCCTCAAGCTCTCCAATCCCAGTGACTAACGGGATTTTAACCACTGGCAGGGGGGTTGTGCTGCGTTAGGAGGGACTGGAGGAGGTGAAATGGGCTGTGGCAGCCAACACCGCCGGCTGCACGGTGATTTATTGGTGGGATGAGCTACGCGCGGGAGCTGAGACCTCATCAGAGCCCTCAATCACTCCTAATCCCAACAAATCATCCAGCAAATTCAATCACGCCCTGAAAGGGAACGGTGCAGCCGAGCCGGGGCTCTCCCTCCCGCTCCTTCAGCCGTATCTCCGAGGACACTTTGACACATCAGGCACTTCACGTTAAACACTAATTTAATCGAAAATGTATTTTACAGACGCCTGGGAAGCTTATTAGTGAGCTGGGAGAGGAGGCTCGAAATGTCCTGTGCAAAGCCCGGCGCAGGTTTGTCGTCTGACTCCTGATAAAGCGCCGAGTAGAAATATTAATGAAGGAAAAGGGAACTTTTTTTCTGAGTGAGGAGGAGGGGGAAGGGCGGGGGGCGGGGGGGCTGTGTGGAAGAAAACATTGTTTTTCATAATTCACTCTGACATGAAAATTAGAGGTTGGGCAAAGCGGGAACGGGGAGAAGAACGTGAGAAAAAAAAAAAAAAAGCAAAATGAAGGCACGTCAGAGCAGCAAACAAAGCCTGCCGACAGCGAGGGATCAGGCAAGGGGATGCGAAAAAACCTTTAAGAAATTGCTCGTGTGGAAGTTTATGAAAATGTTCATTCCCAGCTTGCCCACCGCTAAGACCAACACAACGGGCAACAGCCGGCTTTTCCCGTTTTCTGCCTTTTTCCCCCAGCTAGGCTCCCCCCGTGATCCTATTGCCCTCTCAGGAGATGACAGCCCGGAGGCAGCCTCTCTAATTAAATCTTGATTTTAAGGTGGGAGATAAATGTCGCAGGGTTAAATCATTAAGTTCTGGTTATGAGACCTCTCCACTCCCTTCCCTTCAAGGACGCCAAACCCGTTATCTCCGATAATCTCCAAAACCCCATTTGCATATCAACGGAGCCCATTTCAATGTTCAGTAGCTTCGAGGCCACTAAATTCGTTCCTCATCTCTGCTTATTCAATACAAAATCCAATTAAATATGTTTTTAACAAGTTTAATAAACAACCATCGTTCCAAATGCAGATTTGTGCCTCTGAACAATTTTGGGTCAAGTGGATTCATCGCTTGTCGGATCTCCCTTTTCTCTCTCCCTCATTGTTTGATTTTTAATTAGGTTTTGATATTGTCTGTTAAATTTAAATTAAGGGACAATTTAGGCGCTAATGGTTTCTTCTCAATCCAGCAATTTAATCACGAGGTTGCAATCCCCTCTTCTCCTGATGGCACCACCATTTTCCCCGTTGCACGCCTGTGGTGCAGAATGGTGCTGAGCACCATCACTGAGGCTCAAAGGTGGAGCAAAGCAGAGGATTTCATGCTGTCTTTCACAAATACAACCTCTACGTGGCAGCACGTATTGATTTTCTATACGTGGGAAGGACTCAAGCAGTCTGATTTTCCTTGGAGAAGCACACCTCTCCTCTGGCGCACCACATTTTTCAGGGATCGGAGGGTTTCGGAGAGCTCTGGGAACCTGCTGGACGGAGTTGGCTGCAGCATCCAAAAGGTAACACCCTCCTCCATTACCTCCCTTCAACTTTGGGTCTTACCAACCACATAACTCCCAACCCCAACCTGTCTTTGGGGCTCCCCAACCACATAACTCTAACCCCAACCTGTCTTTGGGGCTCACCAACCACATAACCCCAAACCCAACCTGTCTTTGGGACTCAATGAGCACATAACTCCCAACCCCAACCTGTTTTTGAAGCTCACCAACCACATAACCCCAACCCCAACCTGTCTTTGGGGCTCACCAACCACATAACCCCAAACCCAACCTGTCTTTGGGACTCACCGAGCACATAACTCCCAACCCCAACCTGTCTTTGGGGATCACCAACCACATAACCCCAAACCCAACCTGTCTTTGGGACTCAACGAGCACATAACTCCAACCCCAACCTGCCTTTGGGGCTCACCAACCACATAACCCCAACCCCAACCTGTTTTTGAGGCTCACCAACCACATAACCCCAACCCCACCTTGTCTTTGGGACTCACCAACCACATAACCCCAACCCCAACTTGTCTTTAGGACTCACCGAGCACATAACTCCAACTCCAACCTGCCTTTGGGGCTCACCAACCACATAACTCCAACCCCAGCCTTGATGGGTTTGAAAGTATCAAGCTGTTTGTGCAAAGGGAAATAGATTTTTAGATCCCGTGAGCAGGTATTTCAGATATTGTTCTCCTGCCTCGCGCATTTATTGAGCCAGCAGAGACTGAGATTAGCTATTTAATCGTTTGATCGATTGCAAGGGTAAGATTAAATTGAAAATGGCAGGGTTTCTTCAGCAGAAGGCCGGTGGCCAGAAAGGACACCCGTTGGAAGCATTTACCATCTCGCCAGCTCAGCTATAACTCAAACCTGTCCTTGCAAATGCAAGCCAGCAGTTAACGTAATTGAAGCGAGGAGCTTAATGAGTCCTCAGGAAAAAAATAAAACCACGGGGTTTTGGCTGAGATTCTGCACAGGGAGCTGCGGCGGGGGCTCTGGGTGGTGCTGGAGGTCCATCGCAGCTCCGGAGCGTGATGGGCGGCACCAGAAGAGCATGAGCAAGGAAAAACTTCCATTTTCAGGGGCTACGCTAACAGATAGTTGAGGATTTTCCTCCCTGATGACACGTGGGGCTGCAGTTTGTCACTGTGCAGCATCCAAAGGCCTCCTGATCGCACCCACCTTGTTTTCAAAGATGATTTCGATGAATATCAGCAGCAGCTCCGTGAGGAAGATCACCAGAAGGACCCAGAAGAACTGAAAAGAGAAAGGGAAGGATTAGCCCCACTCCGAGTCAGGCTGTGTCCTCGGTCAGTGGTTAACCACAACAAGGGAGACCTGGAAACCAAGAGCTGCTTTGAAACGCTGAGAAATCAGATAATTTCATTATGAGCTCCCCAGGGAGCTGCAAACCCCTTCCAAAGATCTCGGTCCTAACAGAGACAACAGTTTGCTCCCCTGTAGAAATAGTTGCAGGAAGGAACGAAGGACGGACGGATTGAAAAAAGAAACCAGATGCAATTTGAATGGCCAAATTCTGCACGGGAAACGGGTAAAATGGAATCTCAGATGTTAATCTCTGGGTGGATGTAGGTGTGCAGCATCTCTCTGTGATGGGATGCTGGTGCTCGGTTGAACACCGATGTTTCCAAGCTGGGCATCCAATGGAGGATCATCCATCCCCCAGAGTACGGTCAATAACTCATGGTCCACCAGAACTGACTGTGGTGAAAATTTAGGCTGGAAATCAACATCCTGATGGAGCAAAAGACTTAAACTAGAGGGTCTGATGTCTCCCCACCTGAAGTACTGCCTCCAGCTCTGGAGCCCCCAACATAAGAAGGAGATGGAGCTGTTGGAGCGGGGCCAGAGGAAGGCCACGAGGATGCTGCGAGGGTTGGAGCCCCTCTGCTGGGAGGACAGGCTGGGAGAGGTGGGGGGGTTCAGCCTGGAGAAGAGAAGGCGAAAAAGGGGAGACCTCAGAGCCCCTTCCAGTGCCTAAAGGGGCTCCGGGAGAGCTGGGGGGGGACTCTGCATCAGGGAGGGGAGCGATGGGACGAGGGGGAATGGCTTCAAACTGGAAGAGGGGAGATTTAGATGAGATATGAGGCAGAAACTGTTGCCTGTGCGGGTGGTGATCCCCTGGGGCAGGTTGCCCCGAGAAGCTGTGGCTGCCCCATCCCTGGAGGTGTTCAAGGCCAGGTTGGACGGGGCTTGGAGCAACCTGGGCTGGGGGGAGGTGGCCCTGCCCAGGGCAGGGGGTGGCCCTGGGTGGTCTTCAAGGTCCCTTCCAACCCAAACCACTCTGTGATTCTATGTTCTTGCAGCCCACACCCACCCGTCTCCTAATGCTGCGGTCCCTATCTGAGAGGTGGCATCGGCCATCGCATCCGACTTTGCAGAGGACAGAGAGCAAAGCTCTGCTCAGCTCACGCTCCTCTCCCCAAGGCTACCGCCGTCAGCGACTTCGGAGACTCGCTAGGAAAAGAAAGGTGGAAAGTTACCATGGTAACTAGCTAAAAATCCAAAAGCAAGTTAAAATAAAGGGGGGAGGGGGGGAGGTAATTGATTACCTCGATATTCACTTTGACCATTGGTTTATTAGAAGAGTCTGGTAGCGCAGGGACCTGCCAACCCAGAATTTATTTCCCAAGCAAAACTAAAGCACCATTGCAGCAAAACACCACTTCATGCCCCAGACCGGCGCGGTTTTTAATTAGCCGCCCACCAATTAACCAACCAGGTTTGCACCGTGCTTGTTTGCTGAGAGCCGGCTAGCGCGGAGAAACAGCATCGCTTTCATCACCGGCTAAATCAGCTCATAACGGGCCCAGGTATAATTAGGCAAGGAATCCCATTATGAAGGAATACAATTAACCAAGCACCTGTTATCTCGGAGACAGAGGTGATATGCAAAACGCCGCACGCATCTAAACTGATACAACCCGGGGTTGCTTCGGGAGGAAGCCCAAGGCGGTTCATGGTTTTACCCAGCAGAGCCCATCTAAGGCTCGCACTGCTGCGGCGAGAAAGAGAAGTTCAATTTTGGAACCTTTTTTTTTTTTTCTTCAACCTCAGTCAAAACCCAAGAAAAATATATTAAAAAAAAAAAAAAGAGCGCTTTGTCATCTGTTCACTGGGAAAAAGTGCAAACTCTCACCAACCCCACTGTGAGCACAGGTAAAAGACTGTGGCTTCAAAGTCCAAGTGGGGACCACCGCTGTGTTCGCGGCCAGAGCAGCGCACCAAGAAACGCCTAAAAATCAGCAGGACTCAGCCCGCAGAGTCTTTCTTCTTGCCAAACTCCTCTGAAACCACCAACCCTGCCGCTTTTCCCCAAAATCAAGAATTTTAAGCCGAGAGACCCTTCGTGCAAGTTGCTAGATGGTTTTTTCCGCTCTTTCTAGCGCTTTGGCCATTGCGCACCACGCACCAATTTTATCCCCCGCTCTCCTTCCTTCTTTCGCTCTCGATTTCTGCCCTACGGCTTTGTCAAGTCGAGATATAAAAGGCGATGTTTATGCAACTCAGCCTGCTCCGTGCATATTGAAGTCAAGGCTAATGTTTAATATCCAGGTTTGAGATGTGATTTATCGACAAACGCGGGCGTGTTGTGAAATCCATGGGGTGGATTGTCGGAAAAACAATGACGGAACGTGGCTTCCAAACGCTCCATCAGATGAGGCGCACGGGTAGCAAACCCCACCGTTTCCACAGGAGCGAGCCCAAAAAAGGAGCTTTGCTTACGGTCTTTCTAAACAGGGGAAAAGTGTCCATATTAATGGGGAAGACAGACCCGGCAGATGCTGATCGCAATTCCTTGCAAGAAGGAAACTGCAAAGCCGAGAAGTCCCATAGGTGATGCCCAACTCCCTCCGGGACACCCCGCAGTACGTAACGTCGCCTTCAGAAAGCCCACAATTTCCCTTCTAATTTAGAGCGGATTTGCAAGAAAAGCAAGCACCAAGCCGGGCTCTGGCACAAGCCGTGCCAAACGGGCAGCCCGAGCAAAAAAAAGCTCTTTTTCCCCCCAAATAACGGTGGAACGGAGCGCGCAAACCCCCGCCGGCTGCACGGACACGGCAAAAAGTGGCATTTTTTTTGCATTCACAAAGATTGCAGCAATCGCCAGTGACTGTAATGCATATTTAAGGGGCGAAACTGCTGGCAACGTCCACGGTCGTCCCTTCTGACTAAGGCATTGCAGCCTTTGCTCTCTGCCAGAACGCACACCAGTAAATCAGTATTTTGTTCCTTAAAAAGACACCAGCAGCAAAATAAAGAGCAAAAATCCACATTAAACAGCATTTAATACTGCCTTGAGCTGCTCGGGGGGAAAAAAAAAAAAATCACAAAGAAGTGTGGCGAGGAGCTGGTTTTTCCCCCAATTTTTGCAAAAATTCACCCATTGCACGGAAGTGGTGGCACGGGAGCGAGCGGCCGTGACTCCACGGTGTGACTCTCCAACCGGGCATCACCTCTCGCATCCCCAAGAAGAGGCAAATGCCGTGGAGGAGGGACGGGAAAGGTGCCCGCGGATCTCACCCATCACACAGCTCAGTTTTCAAGGAGAGAAACTCCCCAATAAAACCTTCACCTTGCTTGAGACTGCTGGATCGGGGAAAAGACGCTCAATTCTTATTAAATTAACACTTGCCACAGCCTGCTCCCTTTAAAGAGCTCATCAATCCAAAAGTTCACAATAAATTATCCTGCTTAATTTCCTCAAATACCTTGACAAAAAGATTAATCACCCCTCGTTCCCATGAGCAGCAGAGCTCCAAGCTGCTCCTTCCCTCCTCTAACAAGTCTCCAGCGCCGTTTCGTTCATCATTAATCTCTCCCGAAGCCAAATGGAGCGCAGAAGGAAAGCGCCCGGGCACCGCGCTGTGCCTCGGGTTTAAAGACAGGTCTCCTTCCACTTTGGGCAATAACTCCCCTCATTAGGGTTATTTTACATAAGGAATATATATGTTGGCTGGAGCGATCCCTTCCCATATGTCCTCTGGGTGTTTGGTCTTCTGCCACCTCCGTACGCCAGGTAGGATGACTTCTTGTCAACTTTAATCTCCCAGAAGCTTAAAAACCACCTGAGATACTGAGTTGGTGCAAAGTAAATGCTTCCAGCCGTGGGTCTGGCTGGCAGAGGGGTGCAAACCCACTGCTGCATCATTTCCAGACCGCCAGCAGCCTTCAGCCGCCTCCAGTTTCCCTCTTGAACGCGTCCTCACCAGGCAGAAAGGATGCCCACGGATGAGGGATGGGTTGGAGGCACCGAGGGATGACTAAACCATGCAGGGATTTATTCGGGATCCAGCCCAGGGAAGGAGCTTTGAGCCACGGATAGAGGCTGAGCATCACTCCTGAGCTCAGATGCACTCGAGACACCCGTGGCCACGGGGGGTTCAGACATGCAGAGCCCCAGTGTGTCTCCAACGGGATTTTGGACGGGAAGAGGGATGCTCTGTTTGCCAGGGATGGGGCAGGGAAAGGAGGAGAGGCAGAGGCAGGATGGAAGAATTCCTGGAGCAAGGTGAAAGCATCAGAGAAATCTGTGATGTTTAATGTGAGCAACCTCCGTCTGCAAAACGCGGCTGGGATCTCACGGCGTGGCCAGGGAGAGCGATGGGCTGCCACAACTGCAGGGAAAAAAAGGAAAAAAGAACTTATCTCCAAAAATCCTTCCTTTCTACCCGGTGCCAGGAGTTTCCCATGTGGCACCCGGGGGCTGATAAGAGAAAATATTTGCTTCTCGACGATCCATCGATGACTTCAGCTCAGTCACAGGAAAGGAGGAGATAAGAAGAGCGATAAGGAGGATGGTAATTTCTAGAGAGCCCATGATACAAGCCAAAAAGAAAAGAAATAAACCTATAAATAGATTCCCGGGTACTTTGCAGCAGGACACTGGGAAAGCTGAGGCTGAAGATGCTGCTCTTGAATCCTTTTGCCCTCTTGATGAACTTCATGTTAAAATAGTACAGGCAGATCAGAAACAGCTGCCTAATTTAAGGAATCAAGTGGGGGTTTTCGCTAAGAAAAAGTTACTGGTCATACCTAAAAGAAAAGACTCATCAAGCCCCATATAACAAGACCTTATAGAAGCGAACAGAGGAGGAATAGAGGGGTTTGAACCCCCTCTGTGAAGGGTAGAGATAATTTTATCCTCACTCCAGGCTCTACAGGTACCATTAAACCCCTGTAGGAACAGGGACATTCTGCATTCATGCAAATAACCCCCCCAATATTTTATTTTT